TGTTTTCTAGGTGGTCCATGGTATGCTCAAGACGCTTCTCCAGCACCACAACTCAAAGACATCTGTTCTTATGTTATCATCCTTAGTGACTGTCCAGCTCTCTGATGCATAGCACATGATTATGAATACTGTGGTCTAGATCAGGCACACCTCAGTCTCTAGACTGATATTTTTGCTTCTCAGTACTCTGGAGAGATCCCTGACAGCATATTTTCCCAGTGCAATTTGTCTTTTGATTTCCTAAATGCTGGTGACAAAGGTGCTGATTATGAAGCCGAGTAAACTGAAAATTATAATAACCTCATTCTCTTCTCCATCTATTATCGTGCTGACAATTTGTCCAGTGGATTTGTTTTCTCAATGCTGAGGTTCAATCCATATTGAAGGCTATAGTTCTTGGCCTTCTGCTGCAAGCACTTCAGGTCCTCCTTAATTTCAGCATAATGTATGTTGTTGATGACTCTTCCTCCAACCCTGATGCCACAGTCCTTGACCTTCTGCAGCAAGTGCTTCAGGTCCTCTTCAATTTCAGCATAACATAGATTGTTGATGACTCCTCCTCATTTCTCCTCATGAAGCCCAGTATCTTGAATGATCTGTGCTGCATAGTTATTGAAAAGGTAGGGAGAGTATTTCCCTGCTCTGCTCTGAGGACTTCTTCCTGGTCTGAGTATAGGTTTCACATGAGCACAATCACGTGTTCTGAGATGCCCATTTTTTTCAAGATCAGCCACAATTTGTTGTGATCCAGACAGTCAAATGACCTTGCAGAGTCAATGAAACACAGACATTCCTCTGGTATTTTCTGCTTTCTGTCAAGATCCATCTGTCACTGGAGAGAAAAATGTCTCTTTTCTGATTATATCATAGAAAGATTTGAATACTGAATATTAATTCACATATTTTTTAAGGAATATTTCATGAGTCTTTCAAAATGAAAGCAATTTTATTGTTAAGTTACATTTTAGTCATCATTCCTTACTTTTCTTTTTCAGTTCTCTATAATGTTTAAATTTGTAATTTACTCAATAAAAAAAGTAAATAGTTTTATCATTCTTTCTTTACAAGGAAATGATGGATTATAAAACTTACATGCAGAGAATGTATCAAGTGAGAGATGGCCATGATATATGTGATTTTTTGTCTATTCTCTTTTCTGTAATCCCTTGAATATCATGTTTTCTTTCCATGGACATTAATAAAAAGAAACACTTTCAGTATATACACAAAGGTAACTTCTATTACACTTATAACAAGTTTCTCAAACTAACTTGACTGACGGACTACTATACAGAATGATGCTGATGTTCAGTACTGTCTAGTCAGACTCGAGCCATATCTGACCCTCTGGTGGCTTTTCAGAGGCAGTTATTCACAAGGGATGTTGTCCACCAATGTCCCGCTTTGCAGGTGGTGTATTTGAATCAGGCGCCTTGGCAAGTGCTGTGAAGTGTCTAACTACTAGGCCACCAGAGCTCCCCTAAAAAGAGTATAGGATGAAGACAAATGAAAATAAGTTTTCTAAAGTTCAACTTCTACCAGTTACACTGAGTTAGAGATGGTTGAGGGAGAGGATTGTATTTAACCTAATTGGCCTCCAAAAATAAGATATGAACACCCACATGCACAAACTAAAATAGAGCTGGTGTAAATATTAACACTTTTTATTATTATTATTATTATTATTATTACTACATGACTCACTTAGACTCATTACTATCAAGTTGTAGCCCCTTCATAACCAACTTTCTGGTAGGTGTTTGATGAGCAATCTTCTCCCATACTATGCTCATGTTTCTCCTGTAGAGAGAGTTTCTGTTGCTAAGTGTGGTGACATAATGTTATTTCTCTGTCTGTAGTCTGAGGATACTTCCAGAAAGAAAAGGGCATTCATTGCTAACAGAGTAGTATATGTGGTATCATAGTAGAGAAACAAACAAGCAAAATGCTGCATCAAGATAATCCAAACTCATGACTGCACATGTATTGTAGAGCAGATCTGCATTCTGTCAGATTCTCAAGAGTATGACCCTTTAGAAACAAATCACCAGAGCTTTCTTTTCCAAGGAGTTAAGTGAGTTTAAAGTAATCTTTCATTAAATATATAATAAAAATCCATGTGAAAAAAGACATTTAATCACAGTATATTATAAAGCTTAATTTTGGGAATTTTACCATCACTTAAAGGGAACGCTTGTGATTTTGTAGTGAGAAATTGCACTGCCAATGCAGTTACCCCTTTTGAATCCACCAGCTATGCCACTGGAGAAAGATGAACAATCTCCTCCCTTGCAATTTATTGCCTCTGAAAATTGTGGGGTCAGCTATGATTTAGGTCCAACTGAAGGAGATAACAACAATGATATATCAACATAACATAAATGGTAAACTTTTTATTAATGTGGAATTATATTCAAATATGTTGGTATGTTTTATAAAAAGAAAAAATATTATGGAAAAGAAAGTTATATCCTTAATTTCCATAGACAGGCTTAATAGTTTAAAAAATATATTAACAATTAAATGCTAATATTCATTGCAGCATTATTAAGTAAATCATCTAAATATCCATTAATAGTTGTTGTTAAGTGCCTTCGAGTTGCAGGCAACTCATAATGACCCTATGAAGGAGAGTCCTCAACACTTTGTGTCTTTCATCCTCTCTCCAGGTTCATAGGGTTTCTGGAGGCAAGCTATGACAGAAGTGGATACCACAGTATCTTAGAAGAAATTATATTTCTCTCCAAAAAAAAGAAACCATTGAAAACTCTGTGGACTACATTTCTACTCTGACACTCATGGGACAGATTGAATTAGAATTAACTCAGCAGCAAAAGGTTAAGTTTGGTTTTTATATTTAGATAATTGTTGCTAGGTTAGTTGATTGTGTGTTGTTGAGTAAGAATCACCCACAGTTGATGCTCCAGTAAATTGCATGATAATGATTACCCATTCTTCTCTCACCGAGCAGCTGGTTAGATTAGACTGAGGTTTATTAACTATCAAGTTACTATCTTTTCTGTTTGGGGAATCTAACTTTTTTTAAATAACACAACTTTGTTAAAACACTATTTTTTTATACATCAACATTTGGAAAAGAGATTTTGCAATAAATATGACTAAACTTCATCTTGTATTAAATCTAATATAAATATTTATACTATTCTGTAAATAAGTATTGTGTACATGTGGAAGAAAAGGCCAATATTTTAAGTTGAAAGTATTCCCTAAATGTTAAAATTTAAAACAAACAAAATGTGGAGAATATAAAAGCAATTTTTTAAATTCCATCAAGCAATAACATAAGTAAATATATTGTTATGATACACTGTTGACTTTTCAGCGGGTTTTCTGAGGCAGTTAATCATACAGGAGAGCACTGCCTATCTTCTTTTTTTTTTTTTTTTTTTTTTGTGGAGCAGCTGGAGGACTCTAACTGAGTGCTTTTGGGTAGCCAGTGCAACCCCTTACCACCAAGCCATTGTTGT